ACTCTGTTTCATGCAAGTAAGGGGAAAAATATCTCAAAACCCTAAAGACAAGTTGATTTTCAACTTTTGTCTTTATTTAAAATTTTAGTCCTTTCAGTGTTTGTGAATCCTTCACTCTGCATCTGTCTGCAGCTGACTTAGTGGTCCTGGAATCTGTAAAATCATTTTCTTTGTCTTATGTTTCTTTGGCTCTTTAGATATCAGTTCTTCCTCTTTGGTCAGTTGGCAAACTGGAACGCAGAGTCATGGTGTTAATAATTGATTTCAGTCAGGAGGGTTGATGATTTTGTACCAAAGAACATATAAGAAGGATTAGAAATTACAAGATACTGTATCTACTTATTGGCGGGAAGAGATCCCATTGTGTCCTGAAGGCCCTCGCCAGAGCGCAGGGAGGGTTGGCCGCTCCCTGTGGGTCAGGGGGCTGGGGGCCAGGCCTGACAGCCCGGCTGCAGGGCAGGGGCTTTGCCAGGCAGGGCTCAGTGTCCCCCGGCAGCCGGGGACAGCCAGAGCCTGGGGCATCAGGCAAGCCCGGGGTGACAGGGCAGGGCCGAGGCCAAGCCAGGAACATGAGTCAGTAAGCTAGGTTCCAGGTCAGATACAGCCAGTGGTCACCAGGCCAAGCTGGGAAATCAGCCCGTGGGCTGGGGCCTGGGTGCAGAGCAGCGGGGCCTGTGGCTGGGCGCGGGTACAGGCATGGCCGCTGCGTGGGTGGGGCTGCACCTCAGGCAAGGCCAGGCCCTAGAGCTTCAGCTTAAAGGCAGCTCCCACAGAAGGGGTCCAGCCGCGGCTGAGGCCACCCTGCAGAGCTGTCTGGCAGCTCCCCACAGTGACCAGAGGGAAGGAGGGGCAGCCCTCAGCTGTGCTCTCTCTAAGCTGGCCCTGAGCCCAGCAGCCACATCCCTGGGCGGGGGGGATGCAATCAGGGCCCTCACAGCCATTTAAGATCCCAGGGTGCTGCTACCCCTTTTAGTCTGCTTCATAGAAAGGCATGGGAGCAGATGGTGGCCACTTTAACTCTGCAAGTATAAGTGACACCGAAGTTTCAAACTTTTACAGCTTTTTATTTGTCTTGTTGTCTATCTAACTTGTAAAACCATGCTATGATGACTGAATTATCAATTTCTCTGTAAGTGCTTATTTGGGTCAAGGAAATGTATATTTTCATTTTTTTGTGCTGATTTCTTTTCCAAGGTGCGGTAGCTTCATTCCTCAGGTATTGAGTAGGCTTTGTCTCTTCCAGGCGCTGAAAGCAAATCCCATTTCTCTGGCATGTGGGGTGAGACAGAAGGGGTATATTGGGTGCTGTTTAGTTTCTTGGCTAAGTAAGGTGAGATAGTAAATGATGTCAAATTACTGTGTTATTCAAAAAGCATTGTTTAAATATTTTCTTCTGCATTAGGCACCAGTTGCCTAACTGAGTAGTATAGTTTCTTGTCTATGGGGTACTGGCAAAAAATCTTTCATGGCCAGAGGTCTGTGGGATGCCAGGGTTTCAGTGGCAAAGTGACAGAGAAAGGAGAAGCAGTTGCTTTCTATTCATTGACTCAAATATCCAGGATAAAATTTTCCTTCAAGCCTTTGGCAAAATTCCCAACAATTTTAGTGGGACATGAGTTTCACACACAGCCTGTACTTCTTAGGTTATTACTCAGGGTGTACTCATTTAGAATAGATTGTAATTTTGTGATAGACTGTAATCAGAAAGAGTATTAGAAGAGGGGAAGACCTGGCTTTCCTAATAAAAGGAAAACTATCATCACTTTTTCTTTCCAGCTGCTATATGGCTTGAGAACAGTTTCATTTATTTGGCAGATGTGAGGTTTGCAGCATTATTTGTTGAAGGAGGTCCTTCCCAAAGTGATACAGATTATGTGTGTAATTCTGCCCTTTGCTGGGTAAATTATTACGAAGGCAGTTTCCCAAACATTTATTTTTTATCACATAAATGATGTATATTGTGCGTTTCCTGTATAAAAAATTAAATTCAGAATTTTCACAAGTCTTACGACGATGTTAATGCAAGCCTGTACCAGAAAACATTTCAGGACCATAATACATGAACCATTATGTTCTCATCTATCAATATAAAGATATATTAGTATCTGGAGTACGTGTGCATGTAGTTTGCAAGTGCAAACAAATAGGAAACATATGATGGCTGGAGAAAAATACTTTAAGAATGCAAAACAATAATGAATAAATATAAGATTTGCTTAACCCCTCCATTGTGGTTACGATCTGATATTGCCATTGTTTTAATTTTTAGTAACTTTGGTAGATAAATAAAATGCGTTTGCTGCACAGATAATGCTTTCCTTGAGAAATCCAACACAAAAAAAAGAGGTAAATTTAAATATGTAAATTTAATAGGAGAATATTAAAATAAATCACTATATCTTTTGAACAACTACTGAAAAAAATAAAGCAAAGAATACATGCTTGTCAAATATGCAGTATAAATAAATAATTTACGTGAAAATGGATGACTAGATATAACAAAGAGACGACCAAATAATGAAGGGCTAAAGGGTGGTTGTTACATCTGATGTACTTCATTGTATATTGTAAGTAATTGCTATCCATAAAAAATTCCATGGCTTCTGTATAAGAAAAAGAGACAATTTGACAGGCAACACTAGTAGTAAGCGACAGCAAGTACAAATCCTTGGCAACTGTCATTATCCTGCTGTTGAATTCACATCCCAAACTGTGTGATAACTTTGACCTGTGTAGCTGTTACTGAACCAACATTAAACTAACTATATTTTTCACTTATGGAAAAAAATGTTAGCCACATGCAGATTTATGTCCTAGAAAACTGTGTGGACTATTTACTTTTCTTTTGTACACAGTTGTTTTCTAGTTAACGAAGAAATATGGAGAAATGTGCTTTAGTTAGACAATAATGAATAATTAGAAATTGCACTAGAGCAATAGAATAAAAATTTTGATCTGATGTAACTAAACAATTTCAGCATGTAGAACTAACTGGAAGTAAAAGTTCATTTTGTAATAATTACAAGACTTCCGTGCTTTGGCCATGAATAAACAGCAGTTTAATTGCTTTTAAATGGGGAAAAATTTGTTAGAGCTCTTTAGGTTTTTAGATTTTTTTTTTTTGTTTTTTTTTTTTCCCTTTTAAATTTCTTGTTTCAAAATCTTTTCTCTCTATATCTCTACCTGGGCATCTTTACTGTGCCATAAAAATAGGATCACAACGTCTTGGTGTTAGCAAAATTTACTGTTGACTAAGAAGAAATTTTGCTTTAATATGGAGTACATGCTGTTTTTTCTGACTAGTGAATGCCATTTCACATTGGCTTTTTCGTGAGGTTTCCACATACTAAGACTTTTATTTTGTGGCATTTAATCTCCAGAAGGACGGGCACCAAGGTTGCATCTAAATTTGAGTTTTCTTGAGGTATAAAATAGCTCAGCAGTGCAAGAGTAAGATTACTCTTGGTAATTGCATGCTTGTGTTTTCTGTTTGAAACCACCTCAGTTAAGGAATTGGAGTGTATGCAGAAGTACTCTAAGGTTTACATACACACGTACGTATAAATAGTTGTTACGATGGTGGGAAATTTTAAAAAGAAGCTGGACAAGGACTGGGGATCAATAATAGTAGTATCTATTTTCCTTGCACAGTGTAGTTTAGTGACAGGAGGTTTTGTAGGTAGTATATATTGTTGAAAAGTAGTAGCCCTTTGCTACACCAGACCACTTACATAATAGTTTACTTGTCATGTAAATAAGATAGTTCCTAGTTAATACTAACAGTACAGTCAAAATTCCATCAAAATAGTTAATGAGCAGTAAGTAAGTACATTACCTGCTAAAGAAGGAAGTTATCTACAGTATTAATAGTGGCAATTAATAGTTTTTTATTGTTTAAAGAAAGTTGTTTCTGATTTTGTAGTTCTTTTCTCTTCTTTAAGTGGGTAACAAAATGATCTTCTAAGAAAAAGAGTATTTACAAAAAATAATGTCCTCTTGCTCTCCCTAGTCAGGATTCAAAACTCAGCATAATGTGTTCAGACTTATAATACTAAAAAGAGTTTTATTTGACTGCACTCCAATATTTAGTATTCCTGCGATAGTATATTAGTTCAAGGAAAGGAATTCCTAGGTGAACACACTGCAATCCATATGGACAAATTTGAAGTTCACATTTGTTGTGACATCATTTTTGTAACTTATAATGGGAATATCCTGACACTTAAGAATTATTTGAAAATGAAAGAAGAATGAGGGCTTGATCTCATACGATTTCTTTCTTGCTTCTTCTTGAACTTTGTTTCTGCTGCTGGCACCATTATACTCGTGCTGATTTGGATCTTCCAAAGATGGCATAAAATTAGATTGGGTGATCTTCATATAGGTGAATATTCCATCTAGACTTTTGGCCTAAGGTATAAAGTAATTTTGTGTGATTTATAGTAGCTTCAAATTGAAAGTCAAAGGCTTTTGTTCTCATTATTTTTAATGTTTTTATGCAAATAAAAGCTTTTTTTTTTAGCTTTATGAGGTCATTTACTGTTCACTTTCTATGGAGGAAGGCTAGCACAGATTCAGTGCTATTACAATATAGTATAGCTGAAATAACTACTGTACTTCACCATAAACCTGTCTACAGTACTTTATACAATTCCCATTCTGATCCTGGCTTGTGCAAAGATTAATTGAGCTGAATTCTGAAATAATTTTATAGTTTGCAGAAATAAGAATAAGGATGAAACTATTAACACAGTTTCATAAGGTGTTTTCTAACTTTAATTAAGTTGTTGTAGACTTTTCTGAACTCCTCACAGTCAATCATTACTAATTTAAAGTAGTTGAAAGACCAGAGCAAAAAGATAAAATTTTAACAATATTTATCACATTTCTGTTTCAGAAGATGTTTCCCTTGCTATGCAAAAATAGCTGTTAAAAATATTGAAGGGAAGCAAAGCTCTAGACAACTTCTATTTGCCCATAACATTCACCTGCAATCAGTAATGGTATCAAGAAGGTCGAGACTTCAAGACTGTTGTACACATCAAACAAAATCAGTTCAGAGCTGTGATGGAGTATCAGACATATAGACAGCTACGAATCAAGCGGTACAGACAATTTCTGTCTTATATCACCATCCAAGAGCAACAGAGCTGAAAGTGTTCCCACAGGTCAACGAAGGTAATCAAAACTCTTCTCTGTTGCTTTTAACCATGACTGCTGCAGTTCAGTCACCTTATAACAATGATTCAGTTAATATTCTAAACCAGACCTTGCTAATTTTTATTAAGATTTCTTAAGACCTAAACATTTCTCAGAGGGTATCCTTTTTAAAGCTGTATTGATTTTATCAAACATTTCTAAAAAACAAATAAAATGACAATAAACCAGACATCCCAGTTTGCTTTACACATTTTTGATAGACTTAACCATAGATAGGTAATATCCATCAAGTTTTCCCTCTGTAAAGAAGAATGTAATTATCCGTAATTAATCTAAAATGAGTTGATTCTGTCTGTCTGGAAAATCCAAGAGAACAATTGGATTTTGCAATGAGCCATAAAGGTGATTAAAATGAAGACCTGGTGAACAAAAGTGTATTTTAGTGTGTTTAATTTAGATCTCCTCATTAAAAGCTTTTTGTTGTTAGTGTTTTCTATTTTGAGTAGGTAAATTGTTGTAAACTGAGACAAACCTAGATGATTATAGTTATCATGGTATCCCTTCGTTTGCCTGCAGATGTGACCTCAAATGAGATACAAATGGCTCCTCTTTTTTTGTAAATATGTTCTAAAAGTGCTTTATCCAAAACCATTAAAGTATCTGTAATTGCTAATGTTATATGATAAGACTTATATTTTAATACACTTGTCCCCTGGTATATGAAAGTCTTAAACTCTAAAATCAAAAAGAAAAGATATAGTTACTTTTCAAGAGGGCCACATTCTGGCTTTCTTATTTATATGTGGTAGTACTCAACACTGAAGTAGCTACACTGATGTAATAACATGACTTGCTTTAGAAATACTAAAAAGAATACTAAAAATCTAGGATTCTTATGTAGTTGTTTTGTCATTCAAGAAACGTGGAAACTGTAAAATACGTGAGATTACGTACATGCCACTATGTTTTAAGTGAAGTATCAGTTCAGTGTTAATTGAAATGAATAGAAAAATTTCCAAGGTTTTTCATGGGAGACAAATTAAAATCTTAGGCCTCAAAGCAGTTTTGAGTTCTGTATGGGAACCTCTTGTTGCAGACTAGGATGGAGACCGTATGTCACAAAGGTTCTTGCTGAAGTATGGTATCTTGTTATAAATCTGCTTTGCTCTCCCCCCCCCCTTTTTTTTCTTTTTACTGTGATATTATTCAGAAGTTGTCCGTGGTATGAACATTTTAAAATAGTATTATGATTTTTTTTAATTGAGTATCAGTTTATTTAATTTTATTCTGGCAGCTCCATTGAATATATTTTGCTATCTGGGAAACAGAAACAATTAACAATAAGCCCCACTCTGCAGTCACTGTACAGGCATAATTGCTGTCAATTTGATTGAAATTTTGCCTGAGAACAGACAGACATCGGTTCTTACTTTTTAAACTAGAAGCAATAATCTACACAGTATGCACTGAAAGCACTCTTTAGTTACAAGTTTTCACAGAATCAACATTTTTTCCTGTATTTATTCGTGCTGATAGATTTTGAAAAATACTTTTAAAATTAGGTGATTTATTTTCTTATGAAATTCTTAAGACATTGCATAAAAGGACTTCATAGTAGAATTAAGCAGCTGCTTTCCAAGTATTCCAGAAGTTCTGAATAAACTTAATTTGGGATAGGTTAAGTCTATTTTGCTTACAACAGTCCAATTTCTCTGTATTTTCTATACTTGTAAGTTAGGTGCTGTGAACTAAATTCTTATAATGTGAAGAATTTTAATGACCATACACTCAGATTGTCTTTTCACTCTGTTATAAAAGTTCTAAAAAACAAGTAGATAAAAAAAGACAAGACAAATATCTTGGATTGTTTCTTTAATATCCTAAACTGGATTTTTTTCAACAGAATTTACAGTGCTCTCTGTTTCAAAACTCCAGCATGTCCAGAGGGCATTTGAAGTATCCAAAGTTATTAAACAGCAGCCAAATGTAATCAAAGTCATAGCTTACAAAAATGGCACAAGAAATATCTTTGCTAAAGTTTCTGTCTCCTTAATTAAGCCAGTATCCTCTAGTAGAAGTTTTCTTGCGTGCATAAAGTTTGTTTGTAGCTTTTGCTTCAAAGCCTAACGTAAATACTTTTTTTCCTTTAAAATAAATCTACATGAAACTCTTCTTCCTTTGTACACTATTCCTATAATGTGTGACTTGTTAAAAATTCCTGTAAATGCTAAGAGAAATAAGTTAGTTACAACATAAAGTATAATGTTATTTGCAATTAAAAGGCAAGAACATGATACTTTTAAGCCAACGTTTTTAGGGTTATATGTTTTTCTCATCTTGTTATCTCATGATTTCTAGTAATAATCACTAAAATACTAAGTGACTTGTAGTGCTGTTACTATGATTGGTGAATTAGTTGAGAGTGGATTTTTTATTTCCAATTTTATTTTTTCTGACTAAATATGTTTCATAAAATAAATATATTTTTAATCAGTATTCCTTACCTTTTGTATTCATTTAGCTGCTGGAGGAGCGCTCTGAAAAGCTGAATCTGAACATGGCTGCACGATGAGTGTTCTTGGCAGACAGCACTGAAGCACTAGAACCTAAAGACATACCCCATGATGCCGATGTTTATATTTCAACTGGAGAGACCTTTTTATATCCATTCAAAAAACTAAAAGGTAAAAAAGCAAAAGCAAAACTGAGAAACTCCAGCAAATAGCTTAAGGGGTGCAATTAAAAATTATTTTCGTCCTGTCTTTTTGCATGGTTTAACAAAACTAATGTTTACTCATTTACAGCTCAGTAAGAGGATAATGTGCTTAATGAAAGAAAAATCTACTGACAGCCACATTTATTGCCCTTCATTAGCATTGGTACTTAATTTAATATAGATCTGAATAGACATTAGGGAGCCTGCAGGAGGTTAAATGGTGAAAATGTAAAGAGATTATTGAATTTACTGTTTAGTTTCAGTGACATCAAACAGACATAATTAATTAGGCTTATTCCACTAGCAAAAATAATCTAGAATGTAAGATTGGAGTCATTAATGTCATTGTTTAAAATTTTTTGAAAGTTTAATACAGCAATATGGAATATCTACTTTACTATGCTTTATTAATTTTAGATTATTTGGTAGGACCATTATTAAAATATTTCTTCTTTCCTTCTCATTTTTTTACCAATCTGGTAATTATGTTTTATTATTTTACAAGGGGGGAAAACTATTTCTGAATCCTTTACAGTTTAAATATGAACGTAAAAGTTTCTCTCTGTCATATTTTAAGGTCATGAAGTACATTGTGCAATCTCTGCAGCAAATTTGTGGTAACGTTTTATAATATTAGCTTAAGTAGGCTTCAGTATCAAGTTCAAGATACCAGTTGGGTATTTTATTAAATTATTAATTCAACCGGCATTTGTGATCAAGAACTTTTAACTGATATAAACTAACGTATAATAAAAAGCAAAATTATTATTAGGATAGCGTATGATGTGTAGGTAGGAATCTACAATTCCAGTGTATGATTCCAATGAGAAATGCAAATAAGATAAATTGTTTAACATTATGTGAAACATTCCAATTTTTTGCCATTCTTGTAGTAGTAAACTGTGATCTGTTTTTTAAAAAGTTAGGGATAGCAAAGAAGAAAAACAAAAGACAAATAATTCAACTAGTGTGTGTATTTTATATATATGTTGTATATATTTTACATAGATATTTCTTCACAATTTTGGGCATTTTTTCTTACGTACTTTCTTTAGAAACAAGCCTTAGGTTTTATTTTTCTAGATAGCTTTTAAATAGCATTTGTTATCTTAGGAAGTAATAGGAGACATACTTTAGTGTTAAGTATTGCATTCTGAATTTCAAAATATTCAAATGATCTTTTGCTACTTCTTTTACTATTGATGTTACTTAGTACAAATACATTTCAAAATGATATCTGTATAGTACTCATTGCTGGCTATTTGCCTAAGAAAATGACTACTACATAGCTCTCTCTAGACACGTAAGAATCTAATATTAATTAGTAGAGCATTTATGATATAAGTCCTGTAATTAAAGGTATGTTTACATATTCATGGGGTATTAATGAATAAAACTTGTGTTAGTAAGCCCATGTCTTACATAATCAATTTTGTATATGATAAACTGTTGTTTATGACATAAAAATTATTCTGAGTATGATACAGGTGATCTATTCACTGGAAAGGCTATAACGACTGGCCTATATATTCAGTAAAAGGCACAGATCTTTGCATTAATTCTTGCAAATGTGTATGATAAAACTGCTATTGGTACTGTATGAATCATTGAAACGATCCTATTATTGCAGTATTTTTATAGGGCTACTGCTATAATGTGTTACAAAGTCTTCACTGGTACCCTTATTATAGTTTCTCTATGCATATGCCTTGAGTGTTATGGTAGGTTTTCAAATTCATTGAGCGAGTCTTTTTTTTCTTTCTCTCATTTTCCTCTTGTAAGCCAAATTCAAAACAAAAACTTCTGTGCTTTGTCTGCATATCTTTGGCTGTGTTTCATTGTGACATGCACTGCTGTTCTTTTAGCACCAAAATGTTGGCACACATTACTGAAAATTTCACACCATCTCTTGCTGGATCAGCAAGCTTAACCTACCAAAATCTGGTGTTGTTGAATGGTTTTTGACTGATAATCAATCTTTTTGCTGCTCGACAGTTGTTGCTGGGACACAGACTAGAGCAGGTGGCAGATGTGCCTTGTCTTCTGAGAAAAGAAAGAGTAGGTGAGCTTGGGCACAGAGTAACATATTGTGTGTCCATTAAAAGGGTAAGTATAACAGGAAAAAGTCAGTGCTATAAGTAGAAAAGACCCCAATATCAGAAAATAGGCTTTTTTACACCCCTGTTTACAAGTTTAATAGAACTGGAAAATGACAGTTAATAGTGTAGAATTCCATGTGCTCAAAAATCAGAACTGATGTTAAAAACATTCATAAATTCTCTGTATAACAGTCCACAGTACTTTTTTTTGCTTGTATTTTTCATTTATACATAGTATGAATGAACAATGTATACCTTTTAAAAAAGCTACAATATACTGAAGAGAGATTTTCAACACAGATAAAGATATAGTGGTAGACAGTATGTATTTTATGTTTTCTTTCTCTAGCCTATGACTGGGAAGAGAGCATGGAGTAGTATGGCTTGTCAGTATAAACATACTGATTGCTGCATTTCAGTCCTTAATGCATAGATAACAAGGTCAAATGTCAGTAGCAAATCCTTTTTGCATGGGAATGGAAGATCAGTGTTATACTGTAAAGCCCCATCCCTGCAAATATGTGCAAGTGATCCCATGGAAATCAGATAGACTTTTTACATGTGTAGTTACACATAAATATTTGCAAGATTGGCAGCTTTGCAGAAATCTGTATTTCAAGTACTGTAAAAATCACAAAGTCTGTCAGAATTGTATCATCTTGCATATACTTTCATTTCTTCAAGTGATATAAATACCTGGATAAAATATAATTCCCAGTCATGTTGATGTCTCGGTTTATTTGGAATTATTCACCTTCTCATCTTTCTGCCATATTAAAATTTAATTTGAGATTTGGATTAAATGAATAAGGATTCAAACATAAGTTGTCAAATTGCATGATCTGGGATAAAAATTGAAAGCCGTTGCTTCTTTTAATTTAGTTCAATATTTAAAATAGATACATGTGGCATCAGTTATAAGGTGCCATTCCAACAGAAGTTTAGCAAACAAAAATGTATTAAGTCTCAAGCATTTAAAATGTATTTTTTGAGGACTATCGTGGAATTAGTGTGTTGCAGAACTATGCCAAAGAGTTAATGCTCTGTAGTATGTTGTTCTTCCATGTAATTTACATATGGTGACAGGCAATGGTTGTATTTAATTAATTGTTTATTGGAAATATACGGGAGACCATGTACTTCAGTATTTGCTTGCAGACACTGATATATTTATCAGTTACTGAATTTTAAAATATATCAAATATTCTTATTTATTCTTTTTAACAACTCTTTTTTCTCCTGTCAGCCTAAATTGTATCCCCACACTTCTTTGCAATTGAGTTTCAGGTGTCTCCAGTGTCCTGCTTTGTTTTTTTCTTCATTAGTTACCAATTTCTTAAACTGATACTAATTTCTTTCTGTTGAATTTAATTCCAGTGACACTAACAACCTTGCCCAGTAAAATCATCAATTGACTATCACTCCTTCATAAAAAGTTTATGCCTTTTATCAGTCATGCTATTGTGGAAACATGGCTTCTTCTAAACTTCACCTTCACTTCATCTTCCATTCAGTAATTTTTCCATTTCTGTGTTTGCCATTTACCTTGATCTTGCTTTAGAGTTATTAAGTTGTACTAAGACAAAGTAGTTTTGGCTGATCAATCAACTGTGGACTTAGACTGCAATCCAAACCCAATTATGTTCAGGTCTAATTCACTGTACTACTGAGAGTAACATCGGTTGTTTCTGCAGGAACCTTCGGATTAGTGAAATTAGGGATTTATACAGATATACAGCTATACTTACTGGAGCTCCACTGATTATTATGGGAACTAAGATGTCTAGCTCACATATAGGTAATTTACAAGTAGACATCTGATTAACTGTGCTGATCTTAAACTCAATCACTTCCTAAAGACAGCATTTAGGCCAAAATGCTGTTGTTGATATGCCATGCTTACATACTTTTTGTAAGTCATGTTGACAAGGATTCCTTGCATGGAGCATGGTCCGCTTTGCTGATCACATAGATGCCTCATCTGGTTAATAGATCTTATTACCCAGGTGCAGAACATTGTTTATGACCTACCTCCAGCTCTCATTCTATGGATCACGATAGTAAAAGAACACTAGGTGTGGAAACAATTAGTACATAAACATTAACTTTTTTACTACTTGGACAAAATGTCTGTACTCTTTCATTTAGAGTTATATTTGTAGGATGCATATGCTTCCAGTACTGTGTTCTAAAAATAAAACTAAAAATAATGAATAAGATTTTGTGTCTTTTATTAATGCACTGTGACAAGGAGGCCACTAGGAAAAGTTATCCATGTTTAGTGTTCTTAAAGCTGCATTTCAGGCCTGTATTTAAATGAAGAGATAAAGATTTTTTTTTGTTTGTTTGTTTAATGACATTTAGATATCATGTGATCCACAAAATGAAGTAATTTACCAAGACCAGTTCCAATTGGCAAGAATGTGTGTGAATACATTTAAAAGAGGATGTCTTTTCTACAAGGAGTAAGTATCAGTGAAATGATGGTTCTTGCCATTCTAATTATTGACTGATTTGGAAATGTTTCAATTCTAAGCAGCATTCTAAATAATATAGGGCTTTTTCTGATCAACACATAAAAATTAAAGTTGTCACATTTTACTTTTCAGAAAAACTGCATCTCCACTATGAACTTGAAATTAATATACTTTATTACAAATTTTCATGTAGTTACTGTATTATATGTTATTATTTCAATACATTTGTAGTGGAATTTTGATCTGAAAAAGGAATATGCTATAACAACTATCCATAAAAATATGGAGAAATATGTATATCATGATATATTATGAGCTTATCCATTTTATAACAGATGTTGAAAATCTCAAGATATACAACAGAGATTTGTTGTAAGCTATGGAAGTTTTCT